CTTCAATCTCAAACTCCAAGTTCAAACTTCGGAATGAAACTTCAAGTTCAACCTTCAAGTTCAAACTTCTAGTTCAACCTCCAAGTTGAACCTCCTAGTTCAACCTTCATGTTTAACTGCAAGTTCAAACTTCAAGTTCAACCTCCAAGTTCAACCTTCAAGTTCAAACTTCAAGTTCAACCTTCAAGTTCAACCTTCGTGATCAACCTTCGAGTTCAAACTTCTAGTTCTTACTCCAAGTTCAACCGTCAAGTTCAACCTCACGTCCAAATTTCAATTTGAACCATCAAGTACAACCTTCAAGTTCAACTTCCAAGTTCATTTTCAAGTTCAAACTTCAAGTTCAACCTTCAAGTATAACTTCAGGTTCAAACTTCAAGTTCAACCTTCAAGTTCAACCTCCAAGTTCAAACTTCAAGTTCAACCTTCGAGTTCAATTTTCAAGTTGAACCTTCAAGTACAACCTTCAAGTTCAACCTTCAAGTTCAACCTCCAAGTTCAACCTTCGAGTTCAACCTCCAAGTTCAACCTTCAAGTTTTACCTTCAAGTTTGAACTTCAAGTTGATCCTTCAAGTTGAACCTTCAAGTTATACCTCCAGATTGAACCTTCAAGTTCAACCTTCAACCTCAACCTTCAAGATTAACTTCAAGTTCGAACTTCAAGTGCAACCTTCGAAATCATCCTTCAAGTTCAAACTTCGAGTTGAACCTTCAAGTTCAACCTTCAAGTTCAACCTTCAAGTTCAAACTTCAAGTTCAACCTTCAAGTTCAACCTCCAAGTTCAACCTTTGAGTTCAACCTTTGAGTTCAACCTTCGAGTTCAAACTTTCAGTTCAAACTCCAATCACGTTCAAACTTCAAGTTGAACCATCAAGTACAACCTTCAAATTCAACCTCCAAGTTTATTTTCAAGTTCAAACTTCAAGTTCAACCTTCAAGTTCAACCTTCGAGTTGAACCTTCAAGTATAACTTCAGGTTCAAACTTCAAAACACAAATTCCCACAAAGACAGGACCACCGCCTTGAACGGGAACCTCTGGAGGAAACAAACCCCTTCACTATGGAAGAACTCTTGAAGGCAATTGGAAGCGCGAAAAAAAAAAAGCGCCAGGACCTGACGGTGTGTCGGCGTAAGCCATTATGGCAATCGCGGAGATCTCCCCAGATTCCCTTCTGGACATCTACAATAAGCTACTACGACAACAAGAGTTCCCAACATTCTGGAAAGCAGCTTAACTTGTACTAGTCCCAAAACCAGGAAAGTCTCTAGGAATACCATCGTCTTACAGGCCCATTTGCTTGCTGTGCGCGATAAGTAAAGTGTACGAATGCCTACTCAGAAATAGACTAGAGCAAGAAATAGAGGATAACGGGGGGCTCTCTAGAAACCAACACGGATTTCGTAAAGGACATTCGACCGTACAGGCAGTCCAAGAAGTGAGGCAAATTGTGACGACCTGCCAGGAGAGGTGGCTGGCGCTGATAACGCTAGATATAAAAAACGCCTTCAATACAGCATCGTGGAAACTAATAGAGGCAGAGCTCCGGAGACGGCAGATATCGACCTACCTGCGAAATATAATAAGGAGCTATCTGAGCAACAGGAAGATCATCGTGGGCAAAGAGGAATTGGAAGTAACAGCTGGAGTACCTCAGGGGTCGGTACTAGGTCCGCTACTATACAACCTCTTCTACGGTGGAGTTTTAAGGGAGCAACTGATCGATGGCACAAGGTCAATCGGATTCGCAGACAATATAGCAATTATAGCTACCGGAAAGGATGTGAGCCAACTTGAATATAGGGCTGACGAGTCGCTCAGAATAATTGCTAGATGGATCAGCTGCAATCAGCTGAAATTAGCCCCTGAAAAAACAGAGGCTGTCATACTTTGCGGGCCGAGGGAAAAAACGGACAGGGAACAGCCCCGATTTCACCTAGAAGGCATAGAAATCGAACCTCAGAGAAGCGTACGGTACCTAGGCATCATACTGGATGATGTCCGTAGCTTTGGGAGGCATATCAAGTAACAGCGAAGTCAGAGGAAAGGGCAGCAACGCTAATGAGGCTGATGAGAAACATCGGTGGACCCAGCAGCATGAAACGTCAGCTACTGAGTGGAGTAGTGCACTCCATCCTGCTATATGGTGCCCCAGTTTGGGCAAACTCTCTGAATGTTTGGAGATTCAGACAGATGCTAGAGAGGACCCAGAGAAGGATAGCCCTACGTGTCGCTAGCGCATACAGAACAACATCCCTAAGGGCAGTACAAGCTATCACTGGCACGGTGCCCATCCACCTTCTAGTGGCAGAACGCAAGAGATTGCTCGAAAGAGAGGATGGAAGGGCCGCCAGGTCGGTTGAACGGGAAACATCTCTGAGGACGTGGCAGCAGGAATGGCAAACGAACACGGACACGGCACAATGGACCAAGAAGATAATACCGAATATAGAAATGTACTACAAGTGCAAACACAGAACAGTGGACTACTACCTAACGCAGATACTAACCGGCCATGGATGCTTCAGAACATACACGAAGCGTATAGGGAAAAGTGTAACTGACACATGCGTGTACTGCAATGAGAGGGACACTCCAGCACACACTCTGTTCCAGTGTGGACGATGGGAGGCAGAGCGCCAGAGAACATACGCTGAGATGGAGGAAATTCCGACGGAGGATACACTGGGGAGAATAATAATAGAAAATAAAAATAGTTGGGAGGCGATAAGAGGACTGGCAGGAGCAATCCTGAGGCAAAAAGAAACTGACGAGAGGGAAGAACAGAGAGCAGACGGAAATGGATAGTTCAGACCGCCAGATACAATGGAGAATGTTAGAAATAACGATGCCGTTGTATCTCGGGACGAAATTGGGAGGTTTTAGTCGGTGAGAGTCCGACACTATTTGCAGCGATAGACCACACAAGCTGCATTTGTCCATGATGGATTTCCTCTAGAAAAAAAAAAAGGTTCAAACTTCAAGTTCAACCTCCAAGTTCAAACTTTAAGTTCAACCTTCGAGTTCAATTTTCAAGTTGAACCTTCAAGTACAACCTTCAAGTTCAACCTTCAAGTTCAACCTCCAAGTTCAACCTTCGAACTCAACCTTCGAGTTTAACCTTCAAGTTTTACCTTCAAGTTGAACCTTCAGATTGAACCTCCAAGTTCAACCTTCAAACTCAACTTTCAAGATCAACTTCAAGTTCAAACTTCAAGTTCAACCTTCGGAATCATCCTTCAAGTTCAAACTCTGAATTGAACCTTCAAGTTCAACCTTCAAGTTCAAACTTCAAGCTCAAACTCCAAGTTGAACCTTCAAGTTCACAATTCAAGTTGAACCTTCAAGTACAACCTTCAAGTTCAACCTTCAAATCTGACTTCAAGTTCAAACTTCAAGTTCAACCTTCGAGTTCAACCTTCAAGTTCAAACTTCAAGTAGAACCTTCAAGTTGAACCTTCAAGCTCAAACTCCAAGTTCAACCTTCGAGTACGACCTTCAAGTTTCAACTTCAAGTTGAACCTTCAAGTTCAACCTTCAAATTCAACCTTCGAGTTCAAACTTTAAGTTGAACCTTGAAATTCAACCTTCAAGACTTACTCCAAGTTCAACCTTCGAGTTCGACCTTCAAGTTCAAACTTCAAGTTCAACCTTCAAGTTCAACCTTCGAGTTCAACCTTCAAGTTCAAACATCAAGTTGAACCTTCAAGTTCAACCTTCACGTTCAAACTTCAAATTCAACTCTCGAATTGAACCTTGAAGTTCAACCTTCAAGTTTAACCTCCGAGTTCAAACTTCAAGTTCAACCTTCAAGTTGAAACTTCAAGTTGAACCTCCTAGTACAACCTTCAAGTTCAACCTTCAATTTAACTTCAAGTTCAAACTCCGAGTTCAACATTCAAGTTCAACCTCCAAGTTCAACCTTCAAGTTCAAACTTCAAGTTCAACCCTCAAGTTCAACCTTCCAGTTCAACCTTTGAGTTAAACCTACGAGTTCAAACTCCAAATTTGAATTCCAAGTTGAACCTTCAAGTTCAATCTCACGTTCGAACTCCAAGTTAAACCTTCAAGTACAACCTTCAAGTTCAACCTTCAATTATAACTTCAAGTTAAAACTTCAAGTTTAACATTCAAGTTCAACCTTCAAGTTGAACCTTCAAGTATAACTTCAGGTTCAAACTTCAAGTTCAACCTTCAAGTTCAACCTTTGAGTTCAAACTCCATGTTCAACCTTCAAATTCAACCTTCAAATTCAAAATTCAAGTTGAACCTACAAGTTGAACCTTCATGATCAAACTTCAAGTTCAACCATCAAGTTCAGACTCCAAGTTGAACCTTCAAGTTCAACCTTCAAGTTCAACCTTCAAGTTCAAACTTCAAGTTCAACCTCCAAGTTCAACCTTCAAGTTCAAACTCCAAATTCAACCTTCGAATTCAACCTTCAAGTTCAACGTCCAAGTTTAACTTCAAGCTCAACCTTCAAGTTCAAACTGCAGGTTCAACCTTCGAGTTCAATCTTCAAGTTCAACCTACAAGTTCAAACTCCAAGTTGAACCTTCAAGTTGAACCTTCAATCTCAACCTCCAAGTTCAAACTTAAAGTTGAACGTTCAAGTTGAACCTCCAAGTTCCAACTTCAAGTTAAACCTTCGAGTTCAACCTTCAAGTTGAACCTTAAAGTTCAACCTTCAAGTTCAAACTTCAAGTTCAACCCTCAAGTTCAACCCTCAAGTTCAACCTCCGTTCAACCTTTTAGTTCAACCTATGAGTTCAAACTCCAAGTTCGAACTCCAAGTTGAACCTTCAAGTTCAACCTCACGTTCAAACTCTAAGTTGAACCTTCAAGTACAACCTTTAAGTTCAACTTTCAAGTTAAACTTCAAGTTCAAACTTCAAGTTCAACATTCAAGTTCAACCTTCATGTTTAACTGCAAGTTCAAACTTGAAGTTCAACCTCCAAGTTCAACTTTCAATCTCAAACTTCAAGTTCAAACTTCGAAATGAAACTTCAAGTTCAACCTTTAAGTTCAAACTTCGAGTTCATCCTTCAAGTTGAACCCCCAAGTACAACCCCCAAGCTCAACCTTCAAGTTTCACCTTCATGTTTAACTGCAAGTTCGAACTTCAAGTTCAACCTCCAAGTTCAACCTTCAAGTTCAAACTTCAAGTTAAAACTTCAAGTCGAAACTTCACAAGTTCAACCTTCAAGTTCAACCTTCAAGTTCAAACTTCAAGTCGAATCTTCAAGTTCAACTCTCAAGTTGAACCTTCAAGTACAACCTTCAAGTTCGACCTCTAAGTTCAACTCCAAGTTCAAACTTTAAGTTCAACCTTCAAGTTCAACCTTCAAGTTCAACCTTCAAGTTCAACCTTCAAGTTCAAACTTCAAGTTCAACCTTCAAGTTCAACGTTCAAGTTCAACCTTTGTGATCAACCTTCGAGTTCAAACTTCTTGTTCTAACTCCAAGTTCAACCGTCAAGTTCAACCTCACGTTCAAACTTCAAGTTGAACCATCAAGTACAACCTTCAAGTTCAACCTCCGAGTTCATTCTCAAGTTCAAACTTCAAGTTCAACCTTCAAGTTCAACCTTCAAGTTGAACCTCCAAGTATACCTTCAGGTTCAAACTTCAAGTTCAACCTTTAAGTTCAACCTCCAAGTTCAAACTTCAAGTTCAACCTTCGAGTTCAATTTTCAAGTTGAACCTTCAAGTTCAAACTTCAAGTTCAACCTTCGAGTTCAACCTTCAAGTTTTACCTTCAAGTTTGAACTTCGAGTTGATCCTTCAAGTTTAACCTTCAAGTTGAACCTCTAAGTTGAACTTTCAAGTTGAACCTTCAAGTTGAACCTTCAGATTGAACCTTCAAGTTCAACCTTCAAACTCAACATTCAAGATTAACTTCAAGTTCAAACTTCAAGTTCAACCTTCGAAATCATCCTTCAAGTTCAAACTTCGAGTTGAACCTTCAAGTTCAACCTTCAAGTTCAACCTCCGAGTTCAACCTTCAGGTTCAAACTTCAAGTTCAACCTTCAAGTTCAACCTTCAAGTTCAACCTCCGAGTTCAACCTTTGAGTTCAACCTTTGAGTTCAACCTTTGAGTTCAACCTTCGAGTTCAAACTTCTAGTTCGAACTCCAAGTTGAACCGTCAAGTTCAACCTCACGTTCAAAGTTGGAGCATCAAGTACAACCTTCGAATTCTACCTCCAGAATTATTTTCAAGTTCAAACTTCAAGTTCAACCTTCAAGTTGAACCTTCAAGTATAACTTCAGGTTCAAACTTCAAGTTCAACCTCCAAGTTCAACCTCCAAGTTCAAACTTCAAGTTCAACCTTCGAGTTCAATTTTCAAGTTGAACCCTCAAGTACAACCTTCAAGTTCAACCTTCAAGTTCAACCTCCAAGTTCAACCTTCGAACTCAACCTTCGAGTTTAACCTTCAAGTTCTACCTTCAAGTTAAACCTTCGGGTTGAACCTCCAAGTTCAACCTTCAAACTCAACCTTCAAGATCAACTTCAAGTTCAAATTTCAAGTTCAACCTTCGGGATCATCCTTCAAGTTCAAACTTCGAGTTGAACCTTCAAGTTCAACCTTCAAGTTCAAACTTCAAGTTCAACCTCAAGCTCAAACTCCAAGTTGAACCTTCAAGTTCACAATTCAAGTTGAACCTTCAAGTACAACCTTCAAATTCAACCTTCAAGTCTAACTTCAAGTTCAAACTTCAAGTTCCACCTTCGAGTTCAAACTTCATGTTGAACCTCCAAGTTCAACTTTCGAGTTCAACCTTCAAGTTCAAATTTCAAGTAGAACCTTCAAGTTGAACCTTCAAGCTCAAACTCCATGTTCAACCTCCGAGTACGACCTTCAATTTTTAACTTTGAGTTGAACCTTCAAGTTCTACCTTCAAGTTCAACCTTCAAGTCTTACTTCAAGTTCAAACTTCAAGTTCAACCTTCGAGTTCGACCTTCAAGTTCAAACTTCAAGTTGAACCTTCAAGTTCAACCTTCGAGTTCAACCTTCAAGTTCAAACTTCAAGTTGAACCTTCAAGTTCAACCTTCACGTTCAAACTTCAAATTCAACTCTCGAATTGAACCTTGGAGTTCAACCTTCAAGTTCAACCTGCGAGTTCAAACTTCAAGTTCAATCTTCAAGTTGAAACTTCAAGTTGAACCTCCTAGTACCACCTTAAAGTTCAACCTTCAATTTAACTTCGAGTTCAAATTCTGAGTTCAACATTCAAGTTCAACCTGCAAGTTCAACCTTCAAGTTCAAACTTCAAGTACAACCCTCAAGTTCAACCTCTGAGTTCAACCTACGAGTTCAAACTCCAAGTTCGAACTCCAAGTTTAACCTTCAAAATCAACCTCACGTTCGAATTTCGAGTTGAACCTTCAAGTACAACCTTCAAGTCCAACCTTCAAGTATAACTTCAAGTTAAAACTTCAAGTTCAACATTCAAGTTCAACCTTCAAGTCGAACCTTCAAGTATAACTTCAGGTTCAAACTTCAACCCCCCCGAGGAGTCGTCACCTTGAAGTGGTGGGGGGGCTTGAGTAGCTGCAATGATGGCGAAGAGCTATGCCGGCGGGGTTCTTCGAACTCCAGTAGGGCCTCCCAAGCCGGACAGGTCTGGCCAGAGCAGTGAAAACTAAGAACGACTCGAAAAATCATGGGTAATGTCGAATGTAACAAACATAGTACCCCAGGCGGGTAGGACCGAGATGGGTCCAGAATCCCGCTCCATCGACGAGATGGGCTGCCCCACGGATTCTGGGGGGGGGCATACAAACGGCAAGAGCGAACAAACCAGCAAGAGACCAGACTGGGACACCTGAACATACTACTGGTATCGAGGAAATAACGAACCCTTTCGCAAAAAGGAGTGTATTGCAAAGGTCACCCATAATACAAAGAACCTGCTCCTTATCAGACCTAGGTTCAGCTGGAGGACGAGGACAATCGGAAAATATCTATAAGAGAAAAAAGTTCGACTTTCATTCAGAAGAAAAGCAAGATCTTGAAAATCAGGGAGCTCATTTCATGAAAGTAGTTGAAAGGATGTGCCAACAAATAAAGTTACTCGAAGTAATTGTCAAAGACGCTTACAAACCGAAAAAAGAGTTCCAAGAAATCTCAGGAAAACTAGCTTTACAAGTCGAAAAACTCCAAAGTAATGCACTCAGAGGATGGATAAGAGAGGCCACAGAGGGAAGCAGAGAAAAAGAGCTACAGAAGGAAAACCACTACCTTCGTAAACAGATAGAGCATATGGAGGACAGACTCGTGAAAGAAACGAAGGCAACTATACAAAATACGAACAACACTTTCTGCAATGAATGCGAAGAAGCTCGTAAGAAATATATCAGAAAGAAAGAGCTCACTCTAGAGATGACGTTTGATAGCTTTCAAAGAATCACAGAAGAAGACTGGGAAAGGGAAATTTTTGAAAGAATAGAGGTGCAACAAAGTGATATATGGGAGGCCCCAACAGATGAAGATATAATTTTACCCTGCAACAGAAACTTCGAGACGAGTTCCAGAATGGCCAAGAGAGCGATCGAAAACTTTGGAGGCAAAGAAGGACTCCGAAAACAAAACAAACAGAAAGGAGAAGTCGCTATGATGACCCATGCTCTAGGTTTTCCAGACCAAGACTGGCAAGATGGAAAAATCACAAGTACCCAAAGAAACATTTTCTATCCAATTGTAACAGACGACCTTGGTGTTGAACAAGCAGAAGACGTACACCTCTTCACTTCGCTGAAATCAATAAAGGAGTATATGGAGAGATATGGGAGAACGAAAGCCGCTGTGCCAGAAGTGGATGGGGTTGTTGGGGTTATGATTAAGAGAATGGTGGAATACTTATTCTCAGATACGAATATGAAATTCACTTTATATAAAGTGAAAGGCAACTCCAGCAAACATATACCACCTAGAGCTAACACTAAAATTGAAACAAGAAGCAGGACAGGCTCGAACGCTGCGTCCATGAACAAATAAACGAGAAGACCAAAACATGAAGCTATACTTATTTCTGGTAAAGACATAACGTACGCAGATCTATTGAGAACGGTTAAGAGTTCAGTTAATCCTACTGAAATTGGAGCTGAAGTGAACGGCATCAAGAAGACGAAGAATGGGAATATCCTCCTTACAGTGAGCAATGGTTATGACAAAGCGGAAGCTCTGAAGAAAAAAATTGAAGAGAATGTTCCTACGGCGACCATATCACATCTTGTCGACAAAACAGTGGTCCACATAAAACATCTCGACGATGTCTCGACAGAGGTAGAAATAAGGGAAGCAATCACTGAAACTATTGGTGTGAAGCAAGATAGCTTCGAAGTGAGAGCACTGAGACCCGCATATGGACAGAAACAAAACGTTACCATTGTTATGCTGAAACCCGACGCCGAAAAACTATTGCAGATGGGACAAATCAAAATCGGATGGGTAGTATGCAAGATAAAAGAGAGGAAACGAGAACAGAAATGCTACAGATGCTGGCAATATGGCCATATAAAGGCGAACTGCAATGGTCCAGATAGGGAACAAAATTGTCTAAAATGCAGCAAGGAAGGACATAAAGCAATAAATTGCCAGGAGACGCCCTACTGCGTACACTGCCAACAAGAGGGGCACCAATCCGGTAGCAAGAAATGTCAGCCAAAAATCAAAGAGAGAGAAGGGGGAGGTACCACACAAACAAAACATCAATAATGCATATAATCCAGATCAATACCAATAGAAGTAGAGCAGCACATGACATGGTCCTGGCAACAGCGAGAGAAATAGGAGCCGGAATAATAGCTCTGAGCGAACCGAATAAAAATGCAATCAAATATAGAAAAGACTGGATATATGATGGGGATCTGGATACTGGCATAAAGGTGATGGACCAGAAAATAATTATCAGAAGGCAGGGTGGCGGGTCAGGCTTCTCATTCGTGGCAACAGTGGATTTCACGATCTACAACTGTTATGCATCTCCAAACAGAGATATAGAGGAACTCGAGAGAACCCTTACGGAGATTGGGAGTCGAATAAGGGCCACGAATGAAAAATCCATTGTGATGAGGGATTTCAACGCCAAGTCTGTTCAGTGGGGAATGACGTATACAGACCTGAGAGGGGAATTAGTAACAGAATGGGTAGCACAGCACGACCTCATTCTCGTGAACGAAGGGAATAGGCCAACTTTTCAGAGAAGGAACTACTCATCGATATTAGACTTGACTATTGTAACAGATAACATGAGAAACAATATTCTGCACTGGGAAGTGAGTGATAGGGAAACGCTGAGTGACCACAACTACATTATCTTCGAAGTGGGTTCGATGATACAGACCCGCAAGGAAGCGACTCAAAGGAACCAAGGATGGAACATTACGAAGATCGATAAACATAGATTACGGAATTCTCTCGAGGAAATAGTAGAAACCGAAGACACAACGTCACAAAAAGGCTTCTCTAGAACACTTACAGAAATATGCGAGAGCGCCATGCCAAGGAGGAGATATCACAAGAACCGACATCCAGTATACTGGTGGAACGACGAAATTTCAGATCTCCGGAGACAATGCATCAATAAAAGGAGAAAATATACAAGGAACGCAAAGAAGAAGAACCAACCAGAGCAAAACCAGATATTGTGGGAAGAATATAGGGCGAGCAAGACGAAATTGAAGGACAGCATACGGAAGGCTAAGAGAATCAGCTGGAAATACATCTGTGACGATATTGACAGGGACTTGTGGGGCGACGGATACCAAATAGTGATGAAAAGGCTAATTGGGTACCCACCTAGGCATCAACTGGAAATGCAGAGATTAGAGCAAATAACGGACCATCTTTTTCCTACACATGAGACAGTGATATTCGATCGTGATATGGCCGCAGAACTCACAGAATTCACTATGGGAGAACTGGAGATCGCTCACTCTAGGCTGAAAAACAACAAGGCGCCAGGCCCCGGAAGTATTCCACCAGAAATTATCAAACAAGTAGCTTCCAGTAGGCCGGAATACACACTAGCTGTGTATAATAGACTGGCAACCAGAGGTATTTTTCCGGAAGAATGGAAACAGGCAAAATTGGTACTACTGAGGAAGGGAGACAAACCTCTTGAGAACCCAGGGTCATATAGGCCAATTTGCCTTCTGGACGTGGAAGGCAAGCTATACGAGCACCTCGTCCTATTGAGATTGAATAGGGAATTAGAACGAACAGGAGGATTGTCAACTAGACAATATGGCTTCAGAAAAGGTCGACAGACGGTAAACGCCATCGAAGAAGTGGTGAAGATTGCAAGAGAAGCTGAGGATTTCTCATCCAAAAATAGACGTTTATGTGCAGTCATAACGCTTGACGTCAGAAACGCTTTCAATAGTGCAAGGTGGCAAATAATCTTAGAGGAACTGAGAAAGATGGAGATCGAGGAGAGCCTCATGAACATCATCGCGGCATATTTATCAGAACGGCAAATAATCCTAGAGACCGAAGGCACTTCCAAAAAGAACAGGTAACCAGTGGCGTACCGCAAGGGTCAGTGCTGGGTCCAACTCTATGGAACGTGATGTATAACGGCCTATTGGAAGTGAAACAACCGGAAGGGGTGACACTCATTGGCTTCGCGGACGATATCGCTATGGTGATTGTTGCCCAAACAGAAGAAATTCTCATGTGCAACGCAGATACAGCGTTACAAAGAGTTGCAAATTGGCTAGAAGGAAGACGGCTCCATTTGGCTCCTGAAAAAACTGAGGCAGTCCTTTTAACGACCAAACGGAAAATGAATCCTGTACAATTCAATGTCTTGGGAACCACAATAAGCCCAAGTAGGGCTATTAAATATCTAGGGGTCTGGCTAGACACGAAGCTCACCTTTGCGGAACACACAAGAAGAGTGACAGAGAAAGCAGAGAGGACCATGGCAGCCCTATCGAACATCATGCCCAACATAGGAGGACCCAGATCATCAAAGAGGAAAGTTCTGGCAAGCGTTCTACATAGCCAAATACTTTATGCCGCACCTGTTTGGCAGACAGTGACGAAGAACAAGAAACTATTGGCGAAATTCACTAGACTGCAAAGGATAATGAGCATCAGGGTATGTAGTGGATACCGGACCATATCTGCCGCAGGAGTAGGAGTAATAGCAGGGATACCTCCGATTGAACTGCTTATTGAAGAGAGATCAGAGGGCTACAGAGGAATGCACATAGAGGAAGCCAGAATGAACACCATGACCTCATGGCAACAGAAATGGAATACAGAATCCACTGGACGCTGGACCTATAACCTGATCCCAACCATTAGAACTTGGATCGATAGACCTAATGGTGGGGTAGATTATTTTTTAACGCAAGCACTTTCTGGACACGGGTGCTTCCGTAAGTACCTCTTCGACCGCAGGAAGGCTGAGAGTGATAAATGTACATACTGTGGGGAGATAGATGATGCAGATCATACTTTGTTCACATGCATCAGATGGGAACGAGATAGAGAGGAGTACAGAAGAACAACAGGATATGACTTCAACGCAGAGAGGATGATGGAAAGCTTAGTGAAATCTGAAAAAACGTGGAAGGAAGCTTATAGGGTGATGAGACGTATAGTAGAAACGAAAGAGACAGAAAGTAGGAGATAAAGAACGATAACTGAAGACTGCTTCCACATTGAAGTAATGCTCACGCAGTTCCAATGTGAAGGGCCAGAGGAATGGAGGAGGGGTTTTAGCCGGTAGGAATCCGGCACTACCTACTTTTGGTGTCTTATGCAAGATTTCCCCTCCTCCTTGAAAAAAAAAAAAAAAAAACAAAGGTTCAAACTTCAAGTTCAACCTTCAAGTTCAACCCTTGAGTTCAAACTTCATGTTCAACCTTCAAGTTCAACCTTCAAATTCGAACTTCAAGTTGAACCTTCAAGTTGAACCTTCAAAGATCAAACTTCAGGTTCAACCATCAAGTTCAAACTTCAAGTTGAACCTTCAAGTTCAACTTTCAAGTTCAACCTTCGAGTTCAATTTTCAAGTTGAACCTTCAAGTACAACCTTCAAGTTCAACCTTCAAGTTCAACCTCCAAGTTCAACCTTCGAGTTCAACCTTCAAGTTCAACCTCTAAGTTTTACCTTCAAGTTTAAACTTCAAGTTGATCCTTCAAGTTGAA